CCCTAAACCCTAAACCCTAAACCCTAAACCCTAAACCCTAAACCCTAAACCCTAAACCCTAAACCCTAAACCCTAAACCCTAAACCCTAAACCCTAGACCCTAAGCAAGCGCCTGCCGCAGATTGTGGAGTTGCTTGTGAAGAGGGGGGCTCAGACGAACCTCCTCGACAGGCCCCGGGGCTGGTTTTATAGGGTTTCGGGTGGGGTTTAGGGTCTAGGGTTTAGGGTTTATAGGTTTTAGGGTTTAGGGTTTAGGTTTCGGTCCAAGGCAGTCCCCTTCATTTGGGCATTCCCCAAAAGAGGGGTAACCCCTTATGTGCCCCAAAATGCTATGTAACTTTGGTAAAGGAACCCCAAAAAGGGTACCCCTATTTTCGGAAGCCCCCATTATTTGTTTTTGCAAAGCAGGCCTTCAGAGGTCTAAGTGGTTTAAGCGGGGGTTTGAAGGGTTTTTCTTCTTACATGAGTTCTTATAAAGGTTCTGTCCTAAGCCCCTAAAGCCTAAACCCTAAACCCTAAACCCTAAACCCTGAACCCCCCTGAGCCCTAAATCGTTTTGAGGGTTTAGAGAGCGTAGGCCCTGGTGACTTGCCACCTTATCAGAGCTCAATGAGCCCCGAAACCCTAGAAGATCCAGAACCTTAGAAGACCCAAGTCCCTGAGACCTTATAGTGGCAGTACCCAAAGTTGTATATCCTGTAGTTTGATTGTGCCTCCTGTATCCTTGTATATAGCCACCACCAACACAAGCGCCCGAAATCCCCACCCTCCCCAACAACAAAAACAAATCCCCCAATTCCGTCACCCAAAAGCTCTACAACTATTCGGCTTTAAGGCGGTCTAGGATTCTGAAGCTTCCTCTTAAGCCCTCTAAGCCCTAAACCCCCTAGACCCCCCGACCCGGTACTCCTGAAGCATCGTTGTGTCCCTTGTCAGTGATGGGGTGACCGTCCAGCACTGCGCCTCGCGCCCAGATCTTTCGGTACAGCGGTGCCTCAGGGCTGGGCTTGGGGGCGGGTCTAGGGTCGTTCGGGTTTAGGGTTCAAGGTTTAGGGTTCAGGGTTTAGGGTTTAGGGTTGGGGGTTTAGGGTTTAGGGTTTAGGGTTCGGGGTTGTTTAGGGATTGGGGCTTCGGACGAAAAAGGGTTTAAGGCTGAGGGTTTTGTGCTGACGGGTTTGTTTGCACGGTCAGCTCTCAGGGTTTTGAGGGGCTCGGGCTTTAGGGAGGAGGCGGCAAGCCCCCTAAACCCTAAACCCTCAATCCTAAACCCTAACCCCTAGGCCTCTTTGAAGAAACCGACAGAGAAGACCGAAGGTCACAAGATCTGCAGGTATCCTTTACCCTTTTGTTTTTTTTTTTTAAATGATTTCCTTATAAAATAACCAACCCCAAAAAGGGTGCTCATCAAAACATGGTTACTGGGCTACCATGTATTTTGTTTAAATAACAACTTGGGATGTTCCCCCTTGTACTAATAGTCCTTTATAGGAAGTAATGGACTGTTAGTTTCAGGGGAACATCCCAACCCTAAACCCTGAACCCTGAACCCTGAATAGGGGTTGGGAGAGGAGCATCTTGGTAGTCATTTAGGCTCCTGTATTCTCTGTCCCAAGCGCCTTCCGACACGCTTTTTAAAGCGGGGTTCCTTTTTGGGGCGCCCCTGTGATGATACGCCCTTTAGACTTAGGGTTTAGGGCCTAGGGATTTGTGGTTTGGGGTTTATGGTTTAGGGTTTAAGTTTAGGTGTCAGGACCGTAGACCGCACAGAACTTTGAAATTCCTATAAGTTTGAGATTTGTCGAGCTCCAAGCCTTTAAATCCAAGAATCATCCCCCCCCAAAAAAAATTCAACACGCCGAAAGCAGCTCCCTAATTCCCAAACCAGCCCCTTCAAACCACACGAAACGCTGAGGCATCTTTCCATGGCATGCCCGACATGAGCGAGTGGCTGCTCTACCATGGCGCCCAGACGCAACAGGGACCTAACAGGGCTCATCCTTTGGGTTTAGGGTTTCGGTTTTTGGGTTTAGGGTTTAGGGTTTAGGGTTTAGGGGTTAGGGTTTAGGGTTTAGGGCCTTTAGGGTTTCGGTTTTTGGGTTTAGGGTCTAGGGTTGAACTCTTTAATTTGGGGGGGGGGGGGGGGGGGGGTTACAGAGCCCTTTTGCAGGGTCTTGGTCCCTTTTTGAAACAAGCAGGTAATTTGTGGCACTAACCCTACACTTCCAGGGATCTTATACTAAGGTTGAAAGAATACCAAAGGCCGCCAGATTTAGGTTCCTAGAAGGATAGGGCTTAGTTTTGGGGGCCACTTCGAAAATTATGCGGTTGAGTTAGGGTTTTGGGTCGGGTTAGGGGTCTAAAAGGTTGAACTGGGGTTTAGGGTTTGTAGGGAATTGGGTCAGGCAAGGAAGGTAGGTTTGGGATTTGGGGTTGGAGAGTGTCCGCACGACTTCTCTCTCTTCTTGGGGGGGGGGGTGCTTCCAGCGGTTTCTCATCCAAGTCTCCGCTGCCGAAGGGTTTCGGTTTAAGGTTTGCGTTACAGGGTTTACGGTTAACGGTTTAGGGATTAGGGTTCGAAACTCTGACATCTTGGGCATGTCCACCGAGAGCAGGTTGAGAGCACGTTGCAGACAAAGTAAGCATCCGCAACAATGATGGTCTGTGTAGGGAACTCTAAGGACCTAGGACTTAGGGCTTAGGCTTTAGGGTTAGGACGCAAAAAAGAACTCCAGAAGGACTTAAGTGTGAGGGGGTATACCCTGAGATACCCTAATCCCTAAACCCTCAACACTAAACGCTAACCCCTAAACCCTAAACCCCTAAACCCAAAACCCTAAACCCTCAACCCCACATCTCATGTTTTTTCTCCCCCCCTTTGCAGACCGCGCCTTGCAGGTGCCTGGAAGAACCGCTTCTACATCAAAGAGGCCCAGCCCGAAAGTCTGAGGCCCCCCCCCAAATTAGGGTTTAGGGCTTATTGTTTCGGGGCTCAGTGTGTTAGGGTGTTAGGGTTTTAGGGTTTAGGGTTTGGGGTTTGGGGTTTGGGGTTTGGGGTTTGGGGTTTAGGGATAAATGTCCCACCCCCTTTGAAACCGCTCCCTTTTCCCTTCACCAGAAGCCCAGGAGAATGAATGCCTAGACAGGAGAATGAATGCCTAGACTCACCTGATTTCTAAACCCCTGTAGCCCAAAAAAGCCGCCTTAGATACCCTAAAGCTTTGCACCCTCAACACCCAAAGTCCAAACCCTTACGCCCTCTCTAGGGCGTGCAGGTTTAGGGCCTATGCATAGCAAAGCACCCCCTATGAACCCCCAACCCCTCTAACTCCTAAACCCATAAAGCCCCCCATAAGCCCTAAGTTAACCCACCCACACCCCTAAACACGACCCTAAACCCCTAAACCCTAAACCCCTAAACCCTAAACTCTAAACCCCTAAACCCCTAAACCCTTGCAAAACTGCACCCCGATAAGCCCACTGTCCTCGAGGAGGTCAAGCTGGATCCGGTGGCGTCGGGGTCTGGGATCAGGGGCAGCTGCAGATCAGGGTTCAAGGTTAGGGCCCAGGGTCTAGGGTCTAGGGTTTAGGGTTTAGGGTTTAGGGTTTAGGGTTTAGGGTTTAATTCTTAAGGTAGGGTTTACAGGGGCAGGTTTAAACATCGGTTTTTCATTTTTGCTACCCCTAATTCCCTACAGGAGCCTTATACAGCCAAAAAAGTATTCTTTATCGGGCCCCCCGAAACCTACCCCAGTTTCGGGTTTAAGGTTTTTCGGGAGGCTTGTAGGGTATGAGGGGAGCCGAACTTAGAGAATCACCCACATACATGTGCAGTTGCAGGCTTTGCCGCTATCATAAGTAGCGGCTGGCTGTTGCGTTACCCCTCCCTCAGAAGTAGTGGAGGCTCCCTGTCTTACCTACTCCCTAAACCCTAAACCCTAAAAGCTAAACTCTAAACCCTAAACCCTAAACCCTAAACCCTAACCTGATGCTCTCTCCTGACCTGGCTGAGCCTATGGGGTTCGGTGGCTTCCGGTAAAGCAAGCCATGGTTACAGGGCTTGGGGGGGGCGGGGGCCTAAACCCTAAACCCTAAACCCCCAAACCCCCAAACCCCCAAACCCCCAAAACCCCTAAACCCCCAAACCCCTAACCCCTAAACCCCTAAACCCCTAAACCCCCAAACCCCCAAACCCCTAAACCCCTAAACCCCTAAACCCCTAAACCCCTAAACCCCTAAACCCCTAAACCCCTAAACCCTACCTGGGACCCTCGTTAGCTATAGCTTTGTGGGATATGCCTACTGATTAAGGGTAGTAACTCCTAAACTGCAGGTAACGAGGGCGCCAGGTAAATCCTATAAACCCTAAACCCTAAACCCGTTTTGGGGATCTGGACAAGGTCTCTCAACCCCTATGTACGAGAAAAGGTGATTAGGGCTGATGGTACCACACCTCTGAATCCTAAACCCTAAGCCCAGAAACCCTGAACCCTAAACCCTAAACCAACCCTAAACCGTCTTGCAAGTTCCTTCAGTCCACAAGGAAGTGGGAACCTCAACCTGAGCCCAAGAGAACATACCCAAGTTGCTTGATAGACTCAGGCCCGAAACCCTAAACCCTGAACCCTTTAGTTGTGGCCAGGGATGTAGGCTTTAGGGTAGCCCCGTGCTTGATCCCTTTCGGCTTGTGCTTAACATGCTCCCGACAAGAGAAGTTTAGGGTTCACTTGAGGGTTCGGGTTTTGGGCCCACGGTTCTCTACTTTCTATCCTGTTGCGGGGAGGGTGTCCTCAACCATGCATCCCGCCATCCCTCCACACAGCCTCGAGAGAATTGAGGGTTTAGGTCGCTGAGGCTTCAGGGTTCAGGGTTTAGGGTTCAGGATTCAGGGTTCGGGGTTTAGAGTTTAGGATTAAGGGTTTCGGGTTTGGTGTTTCGGGTTTCGGATTTATGGTTTATAGGGTTCCTTGTAGGCTGTTTCCAATTGTCTCCTGGTGCCAGCCATGGCAAATCTACGCAGCCCACGCGCCCCCCTGCTGTATGGCGACATACCGCCATCCTCCATTGAGCCACGCCTTGCAGATTGTTGTGTAGGGTTTAGGGTTTAGGGTTTAGGGTTCGGCGTTTAGGGTTTAGGGTTTAGGGTTTAGGGTTTAGGGTTTAGGGTGTAGGGTTTAGGGTTTAGGGTTTAGGGTTTAGGTTCACCCGCGAACCACCCGCACATCCTTAGAAATCAGTAGGGTCCACCCAAACACATCTTTCTCTCCCCAAAAAAGGGCGATCCCCTAAATCCTGGGCCGCCGCTTGTTGCTCCTTTTGTGTGAGGGTTTAGGGTTTACGATTGAAATCAACCCTAAACCCTAAACCCTAAACCCTAAACCCTCAATCCGAAACCCTAAACTCAATCCTGCCCACCTGGTCCTCTGTCAGAAAAGCACCGTAGAACTTGAACCGCAACAAAACGTGAAAGCAAAGAACCACCAAAAAAAGCAACCCCTAAACCCTGACGCCTAAAACTCAAAAATATGTGAACAGCAACAAACCGAAACCCCAATATTAAAAGAACAACAAGAAAATAAAAATAAAAAAAGCACTCAAAAAAACAGAAGTCCAAACCTTAAGAGCCTTAGACCCTAAACCCGAAACCTTAAGCCCTTGCTTAGACGCCAACAAACCAAGAGCCTCAGGGCAGCCTCGGGACATTTAATTTTAGGATTTAGGGTTTAGGGTTTAGGATTGAGGGTTTGGGGTTGGTTCCTCCTTAAACTGACAGCTACCAGTCCTTTAATAGGGATTATAGTCCCTCAATTATGCGTTCGTAGAAGGGGGAACATCCTAAGGTTTAGGGTTTGAGGTTTTTTATAGGAAGCTTGTAGGGGCAGGGGGAGGGCCCAACAACGAAGGCCTTTTGGGGTCTACAACACCCTTACGGGTTTACGGCTTTGGGGTTAGGAGGATGGGTGGGCCCCTCAACTCTCCCCCTCATACCGCACTCCCCCTTTTGCTTTACTGACTTAAGGACCCCGGAGTGGACTGAGGGCCCTAGAATCTTGCAACGGGGGTGGAGTGTGCTCCGATGAGGAGGTTTGTAGTACCTTGGGCAGACTTCGATGGCTGCTTTGTGCTATCCTAGACACTGGACCCCAGACCTTAAACCACAAGTTCTAAGCCCCCAACCCCTAGCTCTAAACAACAGACTCAAAGCCCCGAACCCTAGGCCCGAAACCCTAAACCCTAAAACCTCTCCAGGAGCTTCCTGGGTTTGGAGCTTCTGGGTCGCTCCAGAGGGTCTTGAGTTTTCACTCCTCCTGCCTTCCTCCCTCGCTCCCTTTCTTTGCTTCTCTTTCTCTTTTTGTTTTTCTTTCTCTCTCTCTCTCTCTCTCTCTCTCTCTCTAGTTAGTGTCGAGGGTGTAGGGTTTAAGGGTCTCTCTCTCTCTCTCGTCCTCTCTCTCTCTCTCTGTCTTTCTGTCTCTCTGTCTCTCGCTAGCATCTGCAAGGTTTTGGGATCATTCTCCCCCAAGTTGAACCCAATAAAACCTAAACCTAAATCCTAGTTAGACCGTTAAACCCTAGAAACCCCAAACCTCAGTTAGACCCTATAAACCCCAAACCCTAGGTAAACCCTCTAAACCCTCGAATCCCTTGTTAGATATGCCCCATGAGCCCTATACGCCCTCAACCCTAGTTAGACCCTAGAAATCGTTAAACCTTGCAATCCCTGGACCCTAGTTAAACCCTGCAAGCCATGAACCCAAGTTGAAACCTCAACGCACAACACCTAGCCAAACCCTACGCGCCCTCAGGCCTAGCTGAACCTTACCCGAAACCCTAAACCCTAAACCCTAAACCCCAAAGCCTAAACCCTAAACCCTAAAGCCTAAAGCCTAAAGCCTAAACCCTAAACCCTAAACCCTAAACCCTAAGTCCTAAACCCTAAACCCTAAACCCTAAACCCTAAACCCTAAACCCTAAACCCTAAACAAACCGTCAGCCTCAGTTCAACCCTATAGACCCCAGACCCCAAACCCGACCTCAAGCCAAAATTGAACCCAATCAACCCCCAGACTTCTCTCCCCATGGAGTGGTCGCCTAAAACCTCAAATACTTAGGCCCTATCCTTCCAGGGACCTCCATGTGGTGCCCTGACATGTTCTGGTAACCTCAATCCCTGGAACCCTAAGCGCTAGCCCCAAACCTAAACCCTAAACCGTAAAGTAGAGCCTTCAAGTCCCTAAAGTTTGAACCCAAGGAGCGCCTGCCGTCCCTGAACAGCATCCCTGTGCGCGGACCGGATGGGCGATTGATACGCCGGGCAGCTCAGGGTCTGAGGGTTCGGGGTTTAGGGTTTAGGGTTTTACGGGGTTTTTCGGGGTTTACGGGGTTTAAGTTTTTACTGTGTTTTAGGGTGTTAGGTTTTTCAGGGCTTTAGGCGGTTTATGGGTTCTAAAGGGCTTTAGGGGTAATTATAGGGTTTGGATTGCTTTACGGGGTTTTATAGTTCGGGTTTTACGGGTTTTTATAGGGTTTTAGGGGTGTTAGGAGGGTTTTACAGGGTTTTAATAGGGTTTTTGGGTTTTAGGGTGTAAGGAGGGTTTTGCAGGGTTTTCAGGTTGTTGGGGTGTTCGGATTTACAGCTTTTTCATGTGGGCGGGGTTTGAAGGGTTTGATGGGTTTCGGGCTCAGGGTCTGAGGGTCTTACAGGGTTTTTAGGTCTGAGGGTTATAGGGTGCTCGGAGGGGTATACAGGGTTTAAAGGTTGTAGGGTGTTAGGATGGTTTTATAGGGGTTTTAAGGTGTTGGGGTTTTAGGGTGTTAGGATTTCAGGTTTCTCAGGGCTTTAGGGGTTTGGGGTGTTTAGAGGGCTTCAGGGTTTGAAAGGGCTAGGGCTGGAGGGTTGTTACGGCTAAAGGATTTTAGGGTTTGAGGGATCTACAGGGTTTTGCAGGGCTGATAGGGTTTTTATAGGGTTTCAGAGGTTTCTACGTGTCTCACAGGGCTTTTATAGAGATTGAGGGTTTAGGGTTTCAGGGTTTTAGGATTGTAGGTTTTTTGGGTCATAGGGCTTTAGGGTGGGTTTAGGGTTTAGGGTTTAGGGTTTAGGGTTTAGGGCTTTAGGGTGTTAGGGTTTTCGGGCATGCAGAGGTTGTCTAGGGTTTTAGAGTTTTGACATTTGAGGGTTCAGGAGGTTTTAGGGTTCTGGATTCTAGGGCATTTCAGGGTTTTAGGATTTCAGGGACCTTCCCTCCTCCCCCGACCCCCCCCCCCCCCCCCCAAAGAAAAAAAAAAACAATAGTTGTCGGGTTCAGTGTGTAAGCAGCCCACGAGGGGGGGGATAATTACTTGACACCCTAGACCCTAAACCAAACCTCACACCCAAAACCCTCATTGAGGGTTCGGATGACCCGATGTTCCTGTGGCTAGGACCCACGGCGGCACCGGCATTTTGGTAGCTGAGTGATTCTTGATTTGCGCTTTCGAAAGCCTGGGTTCCATTTGCAGAGTATCCAAACCCTATTGTATGCCTAGGCCCTGAACCCTCCCCAAACCCTTAACCCAAACCCTATTATATCCCCAGGCCTTAGACCTTGATAACCCCATGATATCAGGCCCTAAACCCTTATCCTAATATTCTTAGTTGCTGAGCGAGTGCACTTTACACTTTTTGTGGTACTGTAATCTCCTATAGAACTGAAAGTGTACACTTGTTTGGGGCTTATGAACTCAGCAACTAAGTATTGTTGCGGGGCTACCACGCTCTTCTGTTGTCTGGCAGGGCTAAGGTATTCCTTCACCAAAATGTGGAATACATGGGCCTTAAAGTACCTCCTATTTAGGGACTTTAGGGCCCAAGTACACAATAATGAGGTACATGGACCCTTAGGGAAAGAATTCGAGTAGTCAGAATGACCGCAGGCAGACGGTCCCCTTTGCCAAGGTGGGGGTCAGATGTCCCACAACCGGAAGTTGGGTGTAGGGCTTAGGGTTTAGGGCTTGGGGTTTAGGGCAACCTTGGTCTCAAAACCAACCCCACACCCAAAACCCTAAACCCAAAAGCCTAAACCCTAAACCCTAGACCCTAAACCCTAAATCCTAAACCCTAAACCCTAAACCCCAACCTTCAACCCAGAAGCCCAGCTGTTTTGAGGCTTTCAGGCATCCTCACCCCCGCCCCCGTCGATCAGAGACGCAGCTCTGGTGCCCACGGTGGAGCCTCGACTTCGGCCTAGGGCGTCTGTTGGTTTAGGGTTTAGGGTTTAGGGTTTAGGGTTTAGGGTTTAGGGTTTAGGGTTTAGGGTTTAGGGTTTAGGGTTTAGGGTTTAGGGTTTAGGGTTTAGGGTTTAGGGTTTAGGGTTTAGGGTTTAGGGCTACTTCATGTATTGAATCTCTATTCAAACTGAGTAGCAAGCCCAGGGCTCCCCCCGGGGGCCCATTTTTTTCTGGCCCTTTTTTTGGCACTATTTCCTCATGTTCCTCTCTAAAGCCTAAACCTAAACCCTAAACCCTAAACCCTAAACCCTAAACCCTAAACCCTAAACCCTAAACCCTCCCCCACCCAAAAAAAACTAAAGAAACAATAAAAGTGCCAAAAAAAGTGCACCCCTCCCCCCTCCCCCCCCAAGGCCTCCCATAATTGTGTTCCCTTTTTATAAATGTGATGCTGCCTTTGCTGGCCAGAGCCCACAAGGGGTAGCTCAGGAAAGAATGAAAACTTCTCTCCTCCAGTAAGCAATCACATAAGAAATCCTAGCTTTCTGAAGGGCCCCAGATTCTGGAACAATAAAGCTTCGGCTTCTTTAAAACCCCCCATTTTTTCTTTAAATGTGGTGGTATTTCCCCGTACGAAATCCCCCGTAATGGAAAGTAGCCTTCCGTGGGGCTTCTCGGCGAAATACGTTTTTTAAATGTGGGGGTATTAATTAAACAGGTGCTCGGATTAGGATCTATGGAGGTCTCATTGGGGTCCGTGGGATCTATGGTTCCCGACAGCACATGCTGGTGCGTTTCAGGCTCGAGCAAATGGGGCCTGGCTCAAGCTCTCTGTGGTCGGCCAAATGGGGATGAAGACGGAAATCTCCGGAAGTGATACGAATCGGGAAGAATACAAAACCTGGAAGTGTCCAAGCATGAAGGACGGGAACATCCGAAAATTATAGAATTGGGGTTTCATTGGGGTGAGTGTGTCTATCGTGTTTAGTGTTGAGGGTCTATGGGATATATGGCTTATGGTCTATGGGTCTATGGGGTCTATGGTGTCTATATGGCATGGACTTGTATGACCTTTCGGGCCTTCAGGTTTTAGGGCTCTGGAAGGTTTATGGTTTGGGGGGCTGGCGGTTGGGAGAGCTTAAGAGGGGTGGGGGGGGGGGGGGAAGGAAGGGGAGGGGGTGGGTGCGTCTTGCAGGTTTAGGGCCTTGGGGGCCTGGGCTCTGGAGGGCGGGGGTTTTCTGAACTTGGGAGAGCTGAGATTGAGGGGGTTTCAGGGGCTTTCGGTTTTAGGTTTTTTTTGGTTATGTTTTAGGGTTTAGGTAGGGTTGAAGGGGGCTGCGGATTTTTGTTGATTGGGTTAAAGGCAAAGGTCCTTAGGTCGCATGTATCCTTGCACCCCTTCAGCCCGAAACATGAGGGGGATTTTCTTCCAGGAGCTACGAGGTGGCTGTACCTATACATAACTGTACTTAGGACCTTATTTGGGCACTTAAGGGGCTGATGAGTGGGTTCTAAGTACAGTTATAATTGGGTTAATAAGTACCATGAACCTCCAAGTAGTGCCCCCAAAGTCGGCACAATCAAACAGACGCTTTTGGCCTCGTTGTCGGCTTTAGGGGCCTCTGGCTTGTTCAGGACCCCCCCCCAGCCCCCAAGACCCTCTCCGGCGTCGGTTTACAGGGTCAGGGTTTTAGGGTTTGGCATCTTTGGGCTTTAGGGTTTAGGGTTTAGGGTTTCAGGTTTTGGGGTTTTGGGGTTTAGCGTTTAGGGTTGCCTGCACGGCAATGTGTGCGATTCACCCTAAACCCTAGCGCCCTAAACCCTAAACCCTAAACCCTAAACCCTAAACCCTAAACCCTATACCAAGGACCAGTACCAACCAGCAACGACTCTTGGCAGCATTCAGAAAACGTGGTGACATGGCTGGTGAGGACCAGCCCGTAGCTCCAAACCCTGAAAGGCCCTGTAAACTCTAGCAAGAGCACCTGGAGTAGGCCCTGATGTCCTTTTGTTACGGTTTAGGTTCCCTTGCAAATCCCCTTAAAACCCCAAAACGAGGACCCTTTTGTTTTTTTCCTACGGTACTCCTGGGCCTAGATAAAGCTCTTTCCAGTTGAAGCGTCTGCTGTGCCCCTTCATGTTTTTGGGAAATGACCGGGCATATATAGGGTTCAGGGTTCAGGGTTTAGGGTTTAGGGTGTAGGGCTCAAGGTTCAAGGTTCAAGGGTTTGGGTTTAGGGTTCCCCTTGTGCCTGAGCCTTCGAATTTCGAATCCTTTGACCCGGGCATAGAGGTTCCCCCTGCCCCCCGCCACCTCTCATATGCCTAGCCCTTGCATTCTGTAGTCTTAGAGGGTAGCTTTGCACTGTTTGGGCTTCGAAACCCTTGATACCCTAAACCGCCGCGCTGAAGGTTTGTTAGGATAAGGAGTGTGGTAGGGGATGAGGTGATGCGCGTGTGCTCGTTCTATAGGCTTGGCAGCCTTTAGGCCCACATCCCGACGATATGCATGTAGACATAGACATATTATCAGTATAGGGCGAACAAGAGATTGCGAAATTGCCTTACTTGCATCCGTGAACTTCTCCGCAGGGGGGGAGGGGCGGGGGGGGGGAGGGTTGAAGGCCTTCAGGGTTCTCAGGGGGCTATGTTGAAGGTTCGTGGGTACATAGGTATGTATGACATAACATATAGGTTTGGAAATGGGACGCAAACGTGTTTGTAACCCACAGAATTTGTTGAATCAGGTGGGCCTAGGGTTTTACGGCTTACGGCTGAAAATGGCTAGTGGCAAACCAGTTTAGGGTTTAGGGTTTAGGGTTTAGGGGTTTAGGGTTTAGGGTTTAGGGTTTAGGGTTTAGGGTTTAGGGTTTAGGGTTTAGGGTTTAGGGTTTAGGGTTTAGGGTTTAGGTCTTTGGTTCGATGGTTCTTGTTCCGGCTCGCCGCAAGGATCTGGGTTTTCGCTTTGGAGCACAGCTGTGCTGTGCCTTGTGAAGTGCCACTTGTAGGGGGGGTGATAGCAAGAAGGGTTTAGGGTTTATAGGGTTTAGGGTTTAGGGTTTAGGGTTTAGGGTTTAGGGTTTAGGGTTGCTAGAGTGTTGAGGCCTTGACCGTCGGGGGCCTGAGGCCGCATCATGTCGTCGATTTCAGTCCATGTACACCTCCTGAGCGGCGCGAGCGTGACTTTGGCAGCGGAGCCCGAAGAGTCTGTCACCAGCTTGTGCCAAACCCTAAGGGTCCATGTACCTCACTATTATGTACTTGGGCCCTAAAGTCCCTAAATTGGAGGTGCTTTAAGGCCCAAGTATTCCCTATTTAGGTACATGGACCTTTAGGGAAAGGGCCCAGGGCGCACTAAGAGTTGGCAAGGGAAGGCTGCTGGCAGCTTCTGGCGACACGCTGGCCGAAGGTACAATCAAGCGAGCGCGTTTACAAGACAAAGATGTGCTGACTTTGCATGTCGGACAGGTTCGAGTTGCAGCGTCAAAGTGTGGTGCCGATGTTGCCCTTGCTGCTCTCCTGGGTGATGGATGTGTGGTGACCTGGGGCCCTGCCGATGTGGGCGGGGACAGCAGTGCCGTGCAAGATCAGCTCAAGAACGTGCAGCAGGTGCAAGCTTCTGGACGCGCTTTTGCTGCCATCCGGGCTGATGGATCTGTCGTGACCTGGGGTGATGCTGAATACGGAGGCGACAGCAGTGCCTTTCAATAGCAGCTGAAGAACGTGCAGGAGGTGCAGGCGAATTATGGGGCGTTTGCTGCGATCCGGGCCAATGGATCTGTGGTGACCTGGGGCCGCGCTTTCCATGGCGGCAACAGCAGTGCCGTGCAAGAGCAGCTCAAGAACGTGCAGCAGGTGCAAGCTTCTCCAGCGGCGTTTGCTGCAATCCAAGCTGATGGATCTGTGGTGACCTGGGGTATTCACGGCCTTGGCGGCGACGTCAGTGCCGTGCAGGAGCAGCTCAAGAACGTGCAGCAGGTGCAACCTTCTGAAGGCGCTTTTGCTGCGATCCGGGCTGATGGATCTGTGGTGACCTGGGGTCATGCTGCCTGGGGTGGCGACAGCAGTGCCGTGCAAGATCAGCTCAAGAACGTGCAGCAGGTGCAAGCTTGTGAAAGCGCTTTTGCTGCGATCCGGGCTGATGGATCTGTGGTGACCTGGGGCCATGCTTTTTTTGGCGGCAACAGCAGTGCCGTACAAGAGCAGCTGAAGAAGTGCAGGAGGTGCAGGCGAATTGTGGGGCGTTTGCTGCGATCCGGGCCGATGGATCTGTGGTGACCTGGGGCCGCGCTTTCCATGGCGGCAACAGCAGTGCCGTGCAAGAGCAGCTCAAGAACGTGCAGCAGGTGCAAGCTTCTGGACGGGCTTTCGCTGCGATCCGGGCTGATGGAACTGTGGTGACTTGGGGCCATGATGGCTCTGGCGGCGACAGCAGTGCGGTAGAAGAGCAGCTCAACCCAGTTCAGCTAGGAGTTTAGTGCCTCCGGCGCGCTTAAGAGACTGTCCGAGAGCCAGGGTTTAAGCAACAAGAAAAGTTAATAACATACAATAGGATGCCCAGTAGTACCCTGATTCCAAATTTTATTTGTTTTTTCATTTTGTCTTCTGGCGGGGGGGGGGGGGGGGGGGGGGGGGGGTAGGTTACTGTTATAGGGACCCATAGGCCCATAAGGGCATATTTAGGGTGGTGTAGGGTTTGGGGTTTAGGGTCAGGGGCGGCCAATTTCTCGGGTGAATTGAAAACCTTTGCACAATTCCACGGGACTTCGGGCCTTAGGGTTTAGGGTTGAGGATGTAGGGTTTAGGGTTTAGGGGAATTGGGCCAGCGGATCGCGCTAAGCAGCATTGAACTTAACCCCCGCTCCCGGACCCCCACACAATCTTCGGGGAGTTAAGGGTGTAGGGATGTCTGGCAACTGAACCCTTCAACACATCGACTCTGAAGCCGTGAAATCCCAAAGGATCCTCTTAGGGCTTAGGGTTTAGGGTTTAGGCTAGCCTCAACATAACTCACAAACCCCTCTTGGGATGTGTCCCCCTTCTACTAACAGCTCCTTGGTAGGGATTGTAGTACTCCCAATCACGGACTGTTAGTCTAAGGGTCCATGTACCTAAATAGGGAATACTTGGGTCTTAAAGTACCTCTTATTTCGGGACTCTAGGGCCCAAGTACATAATAATAAGGTACATGGACCCTTAGGGTTAGTCCAAGGGGGAACATCCCAAAACCCGACAAAACGCAAAATCCCGAGGACCCAGAGTCCCAAAGGGTCCATGTACATATATAGTAGATACTTGGGCCTTAAAGGGGTTCCTATATAGTAGCTTTAGGGGCCAAGTATAGACTATAAAGGTACATGGACCCTTAGGGAGTAGGCCCTCATGTGTTTTAAGGGTTTAGGTTCCCCGATACGCCCCTTCACACCAAAAGGGCGCCCTTGTTTTATTCGTAGGTTACTCTTGGGTCCAGTATCCATAAACCCGAAGCCCTAAACCCTCAGCACATTGATAGACACAACCCAAAAATGGAAATTCCGCACCCTATGAGCCCTATAGTCCTTAGGGTAGGTATACGGGCCCTTAATTTGGTTCCTGACCTCCTTTATGGGGTTCTGACGTGTGGGTCCTGGGCTATGATTGGGTTTCATGTAAGGGGTCCCCGTTTAAGGGCCCATACTACCCCAAAACCCTGAGCCCTGAACCCTAAAACCTAAACCCTACACCCTAAACCCTAAACCCTACCCTCTCACGAGCCGACAGTGGCCGAGGAGCCATGTGTCAGACGTCCGCGTGCGGACGATGCGCTTCGGCTCAGGCGGGGACCCCCACGGGCGCTTTCAGTTTCTGGGGCTGCTAGGGATGAATGGGTTTAGAGTTTAGGGTTTAGGGTTTTAGGGTTTAGGGTTTAGGGTTTAGGGTTTAGGGTTTAGGGTTTTAGGGTTTAGGGTTTTAGGGTTTAGGGTTTAGGGCTTACCTACTGAATTTTGCAGTATGTTAATGCAACCTAAGCCCTGAAGTTTGATTCCAAACCATGGGCCTTTGCGTCGTCTTTGTCCTAAAAAGCCTTTGGTATTTCGTGTAGGTTACCAACAAGGGCCCCAGAGTTAGTCGACTAGGGTTTTTGCGTATTTGGGAGCAAAAGTGGGACCATGAGCCACACCATTCCCCACCAACAATGAAAATGTTCCGGTGGCTCTGCTGGTAAATTGCCGATCAGGTCTATTTTGGGGTTTAGAGTTCAGGGTCGAATTAAGATTTAGGGTTTAGAGTTCTCTAGATCCTCCTGCACGTACAAACACAGCACCCAAGCCACTCAAATACATCTGATTCTAGAAATCCTAAGTCACTGGATCCCGAAACCCAAAAGTGCAAGTTACTTTACCTAGGTGCGGGGTAGAAACTAAGCAACTCCTAGGTAGGACAAGGGGGGCCTTTAAACGGGGACCCTTCTTAACCCTCTTCTGGCTCTCTTAAACCGGGACCAGATTCAGAGGGTCTATATCCCCGAGGGTCCCTCTAATCCTATCCCCTAGCAACACAATAACAAGCCAACGTTTGAGTTTCTCCACCTGTCTGTTTAAGTCTGTGTGTCGAAGCCTGACTCCCCCCAGAGCCCTAGAGCCCTTTACCGTCTTGCCCTAAGCCCCAAACCCCGAACACACGCAAGGCTTACCCTAAACCCTAAACCCTAAACCCTAAACCCTAAACCCTAAACCCTGAACCCTGAACCCTGAACCCTGAACCCTAAACCCTAAACCCTATAAACCCTTGGTAGTATGTACAAACCTCCTGTCAGCAAGCAGGGGGTCTGGTTCCTTCACGCAGCTTGGCTGAACTTGGTGTGCGGGGGCCGCAGCCCGGTTGCCTTGCACCTGCCCTTGGCTGACACAGGGTTTAGGGTTTAGGGTTTAGGGTTTAGGGTTTAGGGTTTAGGGTTTAGGGTTTAGGGTTTAGGGTTTAGGGCCTAGTAGAATCCTCATGACTAGGGTTTTCGATTGAGGCTTTGGGCATGTGGTTTGCAGGCTGTTGGGGTTCGGGCTTTCATGGTTAAGGGATGTTAAGGGCTTCACAGTTTGCACATGTCTTCTTACAAGCCTTTCATTTTGGTTTGCAGTTCATATGGCTTAGGCGCTTCGGGTCTTCCGATCTCAGGACTAGGGCTGTTTCTGGTAGGAGCTATGCCGGTTTCAGGGTTGGAGCGTACAATCCCTGAAGGTGTCTATGGTGAGAATTTGGGCTTGGGCGTTTGTGAATACTGAACTTACTCAGCTGTTGAATAGTGTTTGGTAGCAATAAAGGTTTAGGGTTTAGGGTTTAGGGTTTAGGGTTTAGGGTTTAGTGTTTAGGGTTTAGGGTTTAGGGTTTAATCATGGTCACAAGGTTTAAAGGCTTTTGGGATGAATCAGTTTTCAAGACATGACAGACCCAACGTTTGCCTTGTCACGTCCCCCCCCCCCCCCCCCCCCCAGTGCAACCCTTTTAGAGCTCACCAGGGTTAGGGGTTCAGGGGGTTAGGGGTTCCGGGGTTTAGAGGTTTATGGGGTTTAGGGGTTTAGACCCTAAACCCTAAACCCTAAACCCTAAACCCTAAACCCTAAACCCTAAACCCTAAACCCTAAACCCTAAACCCTAAACCCTAAACCCTAAACCTTTAGGGTTCTTGGGTTTCGGGTTGCACTTCGGGTCTTTTAAAACAGGCTTGAATCGCACAACCCAAGAAGGGAGGAGTCGATGTGGGAATTAAGGGACAACTGCTACGCTGCCTCCTAGGGTTTAGGGTTTAGGGTTTAGGGTTTAGGGCATAGGGTTTAGGGTTTAGGGTTTAGGGCCCGGCTCATGTAGGGACTCTTCTACGAACATCCACTGATGGGAGCTTGTATAGGGTGGTAGGATTCCCAGCCCTACACGCTATAAGTCCTGAGCCCCAACCCCGTAAACGATAAGCCCTAAAACATGCTTGGAGGTTCATGGTGCTCATTTACCATTTATAACTGTACGTATAACTTATTAGCCAATCATAACCCTATTACCCTATTAGGGTACTTAAGGGGCTTTTACGTGGGTTATAACTACCACTTCAAAATTGAGTTATAAGTACCCTGAACCTCCAAGTAGACCCTTCCCGGGCTCCCACATGCGCTTACTGCTGTGCCTAGGCCGCCCCGACGATGACGAATGGGATTTCGAGCGTGCTGCGTGGTACATCATGAAGGTCGCTTCTTCGGGTTCGGGGTTTACGGGTGAAGAGTTTAGAGTGTACAGGGTTTAGGGTAAACCCTAAAAGACCTAAACACTAATGCCCTAATCCCTAAACCCTACAGGGTTTACAGGGTTTAGAGTGCAGAGTTTTCAGGATTTAGGGTTAGGGTTCGAGTTTACGGGGTTTAGGGCTTACATGTTGGGATTTCCCCCTTGTGCTAACAGTCCTTAATAGGGACTGTACCCCCTATTCCAATCCCCATTAAGGACTGTCAGTACAAGGGGGAACATCCTAATCTACAGGGTTTACAGGGTTTACAGGGTCTGGAGTTTAGGGTTTCGGGTCGGCTTAGGGTTCAGCGTAAACACAAGGGAGCCCCTACTTGATTGAGCACCCTAAACCCTATACCCCAAACCCTGAACCCTGAACCCTGAACCCTAAACCCCTGAACCCTGAACCCTAAACCCCTGAACCCTGAATCCTAAACCTTAAACCCTAAACCCTAAACCCTAAACCCTAAACCCTAAAACCCTAAAACCCTAAAACCGTAAACCCTAAGCCCTGCCCTTAGGGCTTAGCATGGTTTAGGTCTTGGGACTCAGAGGATTCTTGTAGGCCTTTGAAATGGGAAACGGGTTTAGGGTTAGGGTTTAGGGTTTAGGGTTTAGGGTTTAGGGTTTATAAGGGACCGCTTATCCCTCATCTCTTGCCATTCCTTCCGATTATGCGACTGAAGCCTGCCCCCTATATACCCCCTCCCTGCCCCCTACCTCCTGCCCCCTACCTCCCTGCCCCCTATCTCCCTGCCCCTCCCCCCTACCTCCCTCCCCCCTACCTCCCTCCCCCCTACCTCCCTCCCCCCACCTCCCTCCCCCCACCCGCACCCCTCGCCGCCAGGCTCCGGTCTTGGCGGTGGCTGACACGTGCTATAGCCTGGCGATCAAGCCTGTGCACCTTCGTCTGCCTTTAGGAGGTTTGAGGGCTGTTTCGAGTTTGGGGTTGAGGGTTTAGGGCTCAGGGTTTAGGGTGTAGGGTTTCAATGTTTGGTGGTTAGGGTCCGAAGGGCTCAGGGTTTTTGAGGTTCAGCGCTTATCTGAGGATCCCCAATAGTACCAGTATTCCCTTTATTGGGCGTAAACCCCTTAACCCTAAACCCCAAACCCTAAACCCTGAACCCTGAACCCTGAACCCCAAACCCTAAACCCTAAACCCTAAACCCTAAACCATAAACCCTAAACCCTAAACCCTAATCCGAGGTTGCTGGGCAACATAGTATCGGGGCTTGGCCTTCAGGTCTCAGTGTGGTGAGGGTCTAAGGGGCTGCGTCGACCCTGCAGCCTGAACTCATCACATGTACCGCCATGTTTAGGGTTTAGGGTTTAGGGTTTAGGGTTTAGGGTTTAGGGTTTAGGCTTTAGTTTAGGATTTATGGGAAATACCAGTTGAGCTCTGTGGTACCATGTCATGTCAGCGTGACGATCCGGGCTGTGAGCTCGTGTTGCGGATTTCGGATCTAGGAACCCTAAACCCTCAACCCTCAACCCTAAACCCTAAACCCTAAACCCTAAACCCTGTTTAGGGTTTAGGGTTTAGGCGAACAGCAATCCCCAGCAGCACAGTGCTTATAGAAGTAGGAGCTGAAAAGGCTTGGTGCCAACATTCCACTTCGTCTAGAACCCAGAACGGTCGGCGAGGTTTGTTTTTTTTTCCTTGGGTTGTGGTGGCCTTAGGGTTTAGGGTTTAGAGTTTAGGGTTTAGAGTTTAGGGTTTAGGGTTTAGGGTTTAGGGTCTCAGGGTTTGTTCCATACTCTCTCCTTGGGAGCTGAGGGCCGAGGAACCTGTAGCCAGGAAGCTTGAACAAACCCAGCCGTTTAGGGTTTAGGGTTTAGGGTTTAGGGTTTAGGGTTTAGGGTCCCTAAACCCTCAAAACCGGACTTGAGGATTTGGGGTTTAGGGTTCAGGGTCAGGGTTTAGGGTTTAGGCTTTAGGGTTTAGGGTGTAGGGTTTGTAACACTAAGAACCCTGAGCCCCACATAAAAGCCCTCAACACTCAACTCCTCCCACACATACCCCAAACCCTCAACCCTCAACCCTCAACCCTCAACCCTCAACCCTCAACCCTAAACCCTAAACCCTAAACCCTAAACCCTAAACCCTAAACCCTAAACCCTAAACCCCTCAACTCCCACACATGGCAGGGTCGGGACGGTTCGCATCTTCGTGGTTCTCCTCGGCGACGTCGTGGGAATTTTCGAGCTGCGCCCCCCCCCCCCCCCCCCCCCAACGCGACAAGGGTTTGGGGTGTAAGGTTTAGGGTTTAGGGTTTAGGGCTTAGGGCTTAGGGTTCAGGGTTCAGGGTTTAGGGTTTAGGGTTTAGGGTTTAGGGTAGTGAAACTTGCTTCTGTAGTTCTTGGTGGGAATTCGGGAATGAGGTACTCTGTATCGTCCCAGGGCTGCGTAATTAGAAGGGAATCTGGCACCGAACCCGCTGGTTCCAACCAAAACCCCCAAGCCCCAAAACCTAAAACAACACAGCCCTAAACCACAAGCCCCTTAAACCCTAAACATCCCCAAGCCCTAACCCTAAACCCCAAATCCCTGAACCCTATAAGCATTCCTAAGCCCTAATTAACCCTAAACCCGATATTCTGAACATTTCCAATCCCCTTAAACCCTAAACCCAAAACCCCCCCCCCCCCCCCCCCGCAAACCAGTAGCCTTCGGGATCAGGGGCGATTTGAGGTTCACGGTTTAGGGTTTAGGGTTTAGGGTTTTGGGTTTTGGGTTTATAGAGTTTAGATGGTTGAAAAGGCTTGTCGGGTTTATTGGGTTAATGGGGTTTATAAGGTTTATGAGGTTTCTGGGTTTGCAGGGTGTGCAGGGTTTATGGCTTATAGGGTTCAGAGGGTTGAGGGCTTAGGTGGTTTTATCTTGCGTTTTTGGTTTAGGGTTTCACCCTAAACCCTAAACCCTAAACCCTAAACCCTAAACCCTAAACCCTAAACCCTAAACCCTAAACCCTAAACCCTAAACCCCAAGGTTCTCCTCTTGCGTTGGAAGTGGGGCTAGGGGCTAGGTTGCTTGGACTCGCGGGCTCATTGCATTTGCGGTTTAGGTATCAGGGGTTGTCATGAGCTATGCTCGAGTGAGGGGGAAATGCGTGAAAGCTGCGGTGTAGGGTTGAGGGCTTAGGGTTTAGGGTTTAGGGTTTAGGGTTTAGGGTTTAGGGTTTAGGGTTTAGGGTTTAGGGTTTAGCGTTGTGCTGCTGGATCAACAAGTCCTGGAGTCCTAGACAGCACAAAATGCTGCTTCCACGTCAGCTAAACCCTAAACCCTCAACCTCTTCCTTAGATTGGAGCTCTCAGCGTTACCCTAAACCCTAAACCCTAAACCCTAAACCCTAAACCCTAAACCCTAAACCCTAAACCCTAAACCCTAAACCCTAAACCCATTGATGGACCCTGTCACTTCCCTTCGACCGCAGGTATCTCGTGATGCCCATTGGACGTGGGCTTGGTTGCTGCTCGGGGCCTGGAGAGGGTCTCTTGCGGCTCAAGCTCGAAGGGCTTGGATGTGCAAGAGGGGCCCCCCTAGTTATAAATAGAGTTATAGGGACCCTAAGTTGGGTCATAAGGATCCTAACTTAGGTTAGAAGTCCCTTAACTCTAGTTGGTATAGTAAGGGGCCCCCTCCTTGTAGGGTTTAGGGTTCAGGGTTAGGGTGTAGGGCTTAGGGTTTTGGATTCCGGGTTTAGGGTTGCCAATATCCCCAAACCCTCAACAAAGCTGAGAATGGGGAACATAAAGACAGAGATTCGAACTCCCCACCTACGCCCTAAACCCTGCACTAGCTGGACCTCTCGCTCGTACCAATGTTTTACCTACTGGTTCTTCGTAGGGCATGAGAATTAGGTGCCTTGCATCCCCCTCCATATCTCCCTTTACAGATTATGTAGGATACCAAATTCCCTCGTTCCCTACGAAAAGGCCAGGAAGTTTACTATTTCTCGGGTGCCTATCTTCACGATTAGAGCTTCGAAATCCTGCAAGAGGAGTTTAGGGACAAGGGGGGGTGTAGGGGTCTATAAACCCTAAACCCTACACCGTGCGGCTTCTGTTGCCTTCTGATTCTCAAAAATGAGGTACCTAACTATTTCGGCAGGGGTGCAGCCCATCAGGGCAAGCCCTATACCCTGCCCCCATCACTCATCCCCAGATCCGAAACCCCAAAAAACGGTTTAGGGTTTAGGGATTAGGGTTTAGGGTTTAGGGTTTAGGGTTTAGGGTTTAGGGTTTAGGGTTTAGGGAACCCCTAAACCCTAGCCTCTGCACAACCCAAACCCTACATCCTGAGCCCTAAGCCCCAAACCCGGAACCCCTAAGCCACAAGAGGAAACTCCCAAGTAAGCCCGAGGCCTTGGTAGCCCGGTGGTACCCTTTACCATTTTTGTTGCTGGTTCTGGGTTCCCTTGTAAAGTAACCAAGCCCCAAAACGAGATGCCCGAACTACGATATGGTTCCTGGGATACTAAGCATGTGTAAAGCCTAAACCCTAGCCCTAAACCTTCAACACCAAGATACTCACAAGTTCTTGGTTCCCTGGCAAAGTAACCAAACCCCCTAAAAAAGGGGTGCACTTATTCAATATGGTTACCTAGGACCCGGAGTAGGCCGTTACTGCCTTTTTTGGGGTTTAGGTTCCCTGACAACCCCCTTAAAAGCAAAAAGCTTATCCTTTCTATTCCTGGGTTCTTCCCCAAACCCCAAACCCCAAACCCCAAACCCCAAACCCTAAACCCTAAGCCCTACACCCTACACCCTACACCCTAAACCCTAAAGCCTAAAGGGCCTAAAGCCTAAAGCCTAAAGCCTAAAGCCTAAAGCCTAAAGCCTAAAGCCTAAAGCCTAAAGCCTAAAGCCTAAAGCCTAAAGCCTAAAGCCTAAAGCCTAAAGCCTAAAGCCTAAAGCCTAAAGCCTAACAACATGGTTACTGGGCTACAAAAAGGTGGACCGAGGAGGCGCCATCCGGACGAGGAGGAAGGCGAGACCGTTTTTTCGGGGTTTCAGGGTACCTTAGGCGCTGGGTAGTTTAGGGTTTAGGGTTGCGGGTTTGGGGTTAAGGGCTTTGGGTTTGGGGGTTAGGGGGTTTAGGGTTGGGGATTTAGGGGTAAGGGGTTTGGCGGCTAGGGGGTTAGGGGTTTGGGGTTTCTAAGGTTTATGGGGAGCATAGGTTGACTATGAAAAAGCTCAAGGCAGTTTGCTCGAGCACGCGTTGGTTCAGTAGTTAGGGTCTAGGGTTTAGGGTTTAGGGGTTTAGGGGTTTAGGGGGTTAGGGGTTTAGGGGTTTAGGGGTTTCGGGGTTTCGTGGTTTAGGGGTTTAGGGTTTTAGGGGTTTAGGGCTTTAGGGTTCAGAGGTTCGAGGTATTGGATTTGGTGCCCTGCGGGTTCCAAAAAGGCTAGAAGTAGAGGTTGTATGGGTTGCTAGGTTACGTGGTCCTTTGGGGGTCCTGATTATAAGGTGCCCCCTCTTATGTCGCGTATCAAAAAAAGGCCATAATCAAGAGAACTGACCATGTATATATGTGTATATATATACATATATATATATATAATATATACCATAATAAACCCTAAGCCCTAAACTCTGGAAGGATCTCGGTGGCAACGAACTCTATGTACACTTGACCTTAAACCTAAACCCTACACCGGACACCCCAAACGCTAAACCCTAAACCCTAAACCCTAAACCCTAAACCCTAAACCCTAAACCCTAAGCCCTAAGCCCTAAGCCCTAAACCCTAAACCCTAAACCCTACACAGCCACCACTTCGAAATGATGTTTCTGGGCCTGAGGGCTTCTGGAGCTCTCGGGGCTCCTTTGTTTGTCGATTCGCCGTTAGGGCTTCGGGGTAGGGTTAAGGGTTTAGGGTTTAGGGTTTAGGGCTTAGGTTTTGGGCTTTAGGCTTGAGGCTTGAGGCTTTAGGCTTTAGGCTTTAAGCTCTAGGCGTCAGGTTTAGGGGTTAGGGGTTAGGGGTTAGGGTTTAGGGTTTAGGGTTTCGGGCGCTGAAACGGCCAGGCCTGATTCATGCAACCGGCCCGGGGCCCCAGACGCAAATCCGATCAGTGCTTTCAGGGCCCCTAAACTTCCCCCAAACATCCCTAAGGTGCCCTACGCACTAACCCTATAAACCCTAAACCCTAAACCCTAAACCCTAAACCCTAAACCCTAAACCCTAAACCCTAAACCCTAAACCCTAAACCCTAACCCGCCTCCCTTAAGAACCCTATAACTAAAGCCCCAAAACCGATAGCTTGATAACCCAGTGGTACCCTTTTCCCCTGTTTTGGTTCAAGGTTCCCTTGTAAAGTAGCCAAGCTGAAAAAATGAGTGCCCTTGTTAACATATAGTTCGTGGGCTACTAAGTAGACCTAAACATCAAACATCTTAGATCGGAGGCTTCTCGCCCCCCCCCCCCTCCTCAGTGCTTCATAAGTCCTAGCCCCAAACCCTAAACCCCAAACCCCGAACAACTTAGATCCGTAAATGGTAGCATGGCTTCTTCTGCCTCCCCTGAATCCTCAGGGAACAGCTGGGCCTTACACCTTAGGGCCTTTTCGGGATGTAGGGCTTCGGGTTTAGGCTTTATAAGCCCTATAGGGTTTAGGGTTTCCCAGGCAGACGGCACGAAGTTGGGAAGGCATCGGCAATGATATTAGGGCCGTCAACATTGGCACTTGAGATGTTCCCCCTTATACTAACAGTCCTTAATAGGGGTGTAGCGGTTTAGCCGTGTCGGCTTTCGGCTGTAGGGTTTAGTGTTTAGGGTTGGACCTGATTATTGCCTGATCTTAAGGGATCACAGGGCATAACTAAGGCCTTTGCAGGAACGCCCAGGCTGGAATCCTCTTGTGCACAGGACACCAGTCTATGGCGACACCCCACAAGTGCAAGGGTTAGGGTTTAGGGTTTAGGGTGGCATCCGAAGCCTAACATGGGGGCTTTCCGGTCCCTTTAAGGGGATTCTATTCTATTTGGGGTAGAAAAGGGGGACCCCTATTTTGTGAAATACCCATATCCATATCCTGTAGCTCAGCTGCCAGAGTTTGAGGCCATCGCGTTCTGGTGAAGCCGATTGTGGGGGCGAGCACGGTGCTGACGGACGGGTTTGGGGTTGCATATGCTTAGGGCTTATAAGGTTCAGGGTTCCCGCATTCCCTGCTAAGAACGAGTAGTTTTCGGGTTTCGAAGGACTCCAGGATGTTGTCCTAGCAGCGGGGAGGATGGGGGGGCGTGACGGGCTTTCATGGGTTTGGGGTTTAGGGTTTGGGTTCAGGGCTTAGAGGGTTTCGGGTTTAGCGTACAGAGCTTGGTCAGGTGTGCGCACTCAAACTCAACGTGAAGAAAGTTATGGAGACAGGCCCCAAGCCCCCAAACCCTTAGCGCATGTTGGCGATAACTCCCAATCCTCAGCCCTGAGGAGCTCTTTGCACCTCATAAACCCTAAACTCATACTTCCTTGGGCCCCACCAGCCGTACATACACCTTAATCCCGAAGCCCGCACTCAGGGGGCGCAGCCAAACCTCTAAACCGCAAGCCCGAAACCGCAAACTAAACCCTAAACCCTAAACCCTAAACCCTAAACCCTAAACCCTAAACCCTAAACCCTAAACCCTAAACCCTAAACCCTAAACCCTAAACCCTAAACCCTAAACCCTAAACCCTACCGGGTTTACAGCGCTTGGCGTCCTGGAGTGTGCCAGCCCGCGAGGACTGGATATGGGATGTTGCTCGCGTCACCGGCGCCGCTCATCCTGCAGGGGATGTGTGTGGCATGCCATCGTGACAGTGGTGGAGGGTTTGCATTTTAAGGTTTAAGGTTTAGGGTTTAGGGTTTAGGGTTTAGGGTTTAGGGTTTAGGGTTTAGGGTCTTGCATTCATGAAACTCTACCTTGGACCTCTCAGGTTCGGCCCTTGGGAGGGTTTGGTGGAAGATAAGGGCCCTTTTAGGACCATATGGGGGCTTCTGAAAATAGGGGTACCCTTGCTCGAAGTCCCTTTAAGGGGATTCTATTCTATCCCCGGGTTTAGGGTTTAGGGTTTAGGGTTTAGGGTTTGGGGTTTAGGGTTTAGGGTTTAGGGTTTAGGGTTTAGGGAAGTATTCTATTTGGGGTAGAAAAGGGGTACCCTATTTTGGGAAATGCCCATAATACAGGAGCTTCTTAGGGGTGCATCCTTGGGGGTAGGAGTTTAGGGTTTTAGGGTTTAGGGTTTAGGGTATAGGGTTTAGGGTTTAGGGTTTAGGAGTTTAGGGTTTAGGGTTTAGGGTTGAGGCAAGCTCCTAAATCCAATAACCCCGAAGCCCTGAACCCAAAGATTCTAAATCGATCTCTACTGCCCCTTTCCCCCTTTAGCCCTAAACCCTATAAGCCTTATAAACCGTAAAAACCCTGTAAACCCTTTCTAAAGCACGACCAACCCTATAAACCCTTCAAACCCTATACACCTTATAAACCCTTTAAACCCTGTAAACCCTGTAAAACCCTCTAAGCCCCGGAAACCCTTCAGACCCACACGCCCTGAGCCCTATGAGCTCCAGGCTTTTTTCCCCCCAAAAAAAGAACAAAAGACCGTCGACGTTCATGCCCAAGCCGAAGCCCCAAGACTAAGACTCAAACCCCAACCCCCAAACCCCAAACCTTAAACTTTAACCCCTCTAAACCCTACACGTGAAACCCTATAAACCCCCCCATCAGCCCTCTAAACCCTAAACGGCTGCCCTTCGAGCCTTTTAGGGTTTAGGGTTTAGGGTTTAGGGTTTAGGGTTTAGGGTTTAGGGTTTAGGGTTTAGGGTTCGAGTTTTGCAAGAATCTCGGCGCCCCTGACCCTAGAAGCCATACGCGCTTATTTTTTTAATTTTTTTTTTGGGGGGGGGGGGGGGAGGGATTAGGGTTTAGGGCTGAGGGTTTAGGGCTTTGCGTTTCGGGTTGGGTTCCTAACCCTAAACCCTGAACCCCCTAAACCCTAAACCCTAAACCCTAAACCCTAAACCCTAAACCCTAAACCCTAAACCTCCCTTAGGAGTACGTGTTGACACCTTCGGCGCTGCTAGTCTCGGGCGCCGCTCGTCGCATCCCTTTCAATTTGAGGTTGGGGTTCAGGGTTTAGGGTTCATTCAGGGTTCAGGGTTTAGGGTTTAGGGTTCAGGGTTTAGGGTTTAGGGTTTAGGGTTTAGGGTTTAGGGGTAGGGCTCAGGGTTCAGTTTAGGGTTTAGGGCTCAGGGTTCAGGGTTCAGGGCTCAGGGTTCAGAGTCTAGGTTTCCAGTTTAGGGTTCGTGGTTTCGGTGTTACGGTTTCGGGTTAGGGGCATAGAGCTTTGCCGTTTGAGCGAAATGTGCTAACCCGTGGAAGAACCGCCCCTATAACCCCAGATTACGAACCTTAACGCCGCAAGCCGTCTCGGGCAAGATTTCCGGAGACAGATGTCGAAACCCCAGGCCCAAACTGAACCTAATAGGGTTTAGGGTTTAGGGTTTAGGGTTGAGGGTTTAGAGTTTAGGGTTTAGGGTTTAGGGTTTAGGGTTTAGGTTTACTCTTTAGGAAATTTGTTTCGTTGGGCAAGTCTCGGAATGTTGGAGTATGCTGAACATCAGGATCCGCCTTTCAGAGAGCTGACCACTGACTTCCATCCCAATCCCGGAACCCTGAACACCGATATCTGACTTCTTACATCCCACCTAAACCTTCTGCCCTAGAGCTCAAACCTATGAACATCTATCTCCTGTGAACAGAGATCTTCCTAATCTTCTTAAGAAGTCAACTGGCAAAGTCTCAGCGTTTTGCCGGCTTAGGTTTAGGGCGATTGGAGGCTTAGTGCTCCATTGAGCTTAGGGCTTTCGGGTTTAGGTGTTTAGGGTTTTAGGGGTTTAGGCTTTGGGGACTGAGCCTAGGTTTTCAGGGTTTTAGGGTTTAGGGTTCACGGTGGGAATGAGGCCATTGAGGCTTCGATCCCTAAACCGGGGCCTTCAGGCGTGAGGGGTTAGGGATGATAGGGTTTGGGCTCCCTTCCTCAAGTTGCGTATGGCTTATGATTTAGGGTTTAGGGCATTCAAGTTTGGGGTTGGGGTTTCGGGTTTAGGGTTTGGGGTTTAGGGTTTGGGGTTTAGGGTTAGGGTTTAGGGTTTGGGGTTTGGGGTTTAGGGTTTAGGGTTTAGGGTTAGGGGTTTCGGCTTTAGGGTTTAGGGTCTGTAGCTTGGTAGGCCGTTTGGATCCTGTGGGCTGAAGAGCATCTTGCTTGGGAGCATGTTTCAGAAGGCTTTCAAGGCCAACCTAGTTGAGATCGCAGGGTTTAGGGTTTAGGGTTTAGGGTTTAGGGTTTAGGGTTTATGTTTAGGGTTTAGGGTTTAGGGTTTTGGACATAGGGCTCAGGGTTTAGCCCCTCCTCGAAACCCCTAAACCACGAAGGTCAGCATTGGGGTTGGCGGAGGAGCGAGGGGTGCTCTGGATCTGGGATTCAAAGGTTCTTGATGCTTAACGGGTTCAGGGCTTTAAGTTCATTGGTTTGGATTTCAGGGTGTGAGGTCGGCTTCTCTAGGACTGCTTACGTACAGGTTTCTGTGCAATACCTCTTTTGAATGGCTACTACCCAGCTGCAAGCCCTAAACAGCCAAGATGTATTGGCAGAGGACCCCCAGGTTCAGATTAGGGTTTAGGGTTTAGGGTTTAGGGTTTAGGGTTTAGGGTTTAGGGTTTAGGGTTTAGGGTTTAGGGTTTAGGGTTTTAGGGTTTAGGGTTTAGGGCATGCAGGAAGTACTGGCAAACGGGATGGCAAGCAGCTTTTTGTGCAAGGCCACATGTGCACCCATACTTGCGCGCGCCACCTGCTGGAGAGGCGAGCATGGACTATACGAGATGCTTAAGTAAAAGGAAGAATCTTTCTCTTATTATCATGTTTGTCATTATTATTTTTGTTTTTTTGGGGGGTTCGTAAGCAATTCGTAGTGACGTAGTGTATCAGCCAGGCCAGTCCATATTGCAAGTTTCATCACCAGAACTCGCTCCTGAGCGCCTACATGCGGCATATCCCTCCGGCCCTTGTCTCTAAGAGTCCGCGAGCCCCGAGCACTGACACGCGCGATGTGTGTGTGTGTGTGTATGTGTGTAATCCTAAACCCTAAACCCCAAACCTGGGAGGGATGTTCCCCCTTATACTAACAGTCCTTAGAATGAGGATTCAAAAGGGGCGGGGTACTATAGAATCCCTATCAAGGCCTGTTGTATAAAAAACATATATGTACACAGTGGGACATCCCAACCTAACCTGTGACCATTGGCCATTTCACTGTAGCTGTCTCGCGAGGACTCATGGCTTTTGGTCAGACGTTGCAGCGAGTGGCGACGATTCCGCCGTCCCAAACCAGGTATTTCTGAGCCGCCCGTAGATCCCTAAGGGTCCATGCACCCTAAACCCTAAACCCTCAACCCTCAACCCTAAACCCTAAACCCGAAACCCTTATGGGCCCAAACTCCTGATATGGAAAGCACTTGAGAAGGCCCAAGTACCTAAACCCTAAACCCTAAACCCTAAACCCTAAACCCTAAACCCTAAACCCTAAACCCTAAACCTTCTCTAGTTCTCTGCATGGAGAG